GCATTCAGAATTTCTCGAACCTACTGCCCGCACCGTCGTTTGTTGGGGCTGCCACGCAAAATCACGAAACTTATCAATGCTTCCCTCGTCATCGCGTCAACAACGTGCACGACTGTTCACCACGGTACACAGTGCACGAATCCCACATCTTGAGCGACCACTAGTACGGGCGCGACAGAGGTTGAAATTCATCTCATTTATCCAAACGGGTTCTCTTCCTGCCACCTAGAATTGTAGCAGTGTCAAGACGAAGAACCTGCCTCGCTTCTTGTTCTCCAATGTGTTCCTTGATTCCGGGATTATTTACAACTTCTTCAGGGTGATAAAGCGCCTATCCAAATATCTGGACACCGTGGTACCTTTCACCTCCACGTCATATTCTGCTTGCAGCGTCAGACGAAGCTTGGATAGGGCATTGTTGGGCTCTTCCGATATCCATTCAACGACAGCATTCATGTGGCTTTCTGGCAAAGACCGGCGACGAGCCCCCGTTCTGCGCCCGCACAAGGGGTGGATCGGCACGCGGCACCCATGCACAGTGTACGGTGGCCAACAGTCGGGGACAAAATTTGTACCTAATAAGCGCAATGACCGCAGAAGAATTGCTGGGGTTTTCCGTTCTAAGGGGCAGCTACAATAAGGACAGATGTGCGCGTTGGTTGCGGCAAATGCTTGATACAGAAGATAGACATTTGTCGGACAGCTGTGTTCTTGTTTGTGATAACACACTAATCTGGAGGGTATTTATCAAGAGAAAGCTTTCACCTCGGGAACACTGCTACGACTCGCACCGTATTCTCCACAACTGAACCCCATTGAAGGGATTTGGAGCATCATTAAGGCGTACGTTAAACGAGAGATGAGGAGGAGATATAGCGAAATGCTACAAGGAGATAGAGCTGGTGTTCTGAGCAAGACGGAGTGGAGGATGAACTTTTTGGAGCAGGTTGTTGTGGAAGCACGCGCTTGCGTGACACTGATCCGTTCGTGGATAGTATTTATAGCAACCGTGGAAAGCTCTGCAAAAGTTAACTTCCAGCCAGTAAATTAACTTTGACCTAGCGTTGATTAGCCGCTTCACCTGGTTGGCTCTATGTTCGCCCCAATCAGGGTGGATGAGTTTGGATTGCCGGCCGCGGCGATGGGGTCCTGGATTGTTCAACTCGCGTATTCCTCCCTGACAGGGTAGAACCAAGTTACAGAGGGACGTTTCAGAGATTATCCCTGATAGCTACGACAACATGATACTCCTAACCTTCGCCGTCAACATGGCCACCAAACAAGTACCTCTTTCCTACTTTATCAGCCGCGGTATTAACTGGAAACCCTTCCGTCAAATTATCCGGTTCTGCGATCGAAATGCCTTCTTTCTCTCCAAATGTGCGTCCACAGCCGTGGTGTACTATTAGCCAGCCATAACCCTCATTACTGCACAAGAAAAGGGAATGAGGGAGGTTTAAAATGAAGCAGTCGAACGTTCGATGAGTCCGAAATCCAGTAAAACGATCGCGCGTTGAATATGGTTAGGATATTTTACAATGATTCCACAGATGCACTGACTCATTTCTGAAATAAAACACTTACAGTTGATGGGTTCACACATGAAGGTCAAGCAATCCTACGAATGACATGTAAAGCAAAAGAGCTGGTCTGCCTTCTCTGTCGAAGAACCAACAAACGCTTTTCATTGATCACTGCAATGGTGGACGACATCCAGGAGCATTTAGCTCTTTCTTCTCCACCTACATGACCATTAACAATAACGCTATGATTACACCAAGTCTCCACTTAAAGTGCTATTGCTCTCTGCAATATCCGCCAATCAATACATTCTATTCAACCGTGCTCAATTCTGGAAGCGGATGGCATCTCGCCATCCGCCATGAAACTGGGAGGGCGTGATATGTCACTGTGCCTTGTGTATATGTTTGTCATTTCACTGGGATCCAAGTAATTTGCATATCAATTGAACGCTTCATTCATCAGCCCCTCTCCACAAGGGCTGCGCAAAACTGGAGATTTACCATAACAGGCCAAGCATTAACACTCCTATAATAGCCGTATTATTCGTGAAATCGGTAAAAGTGAAGTGTGTGGGAGTTCATCAACTCACTGGAGCTGATAGACAGGTCCTAACATGGTTTATTAACTAACGATCATGCACATTCTGGTAACTGCATTAACTGAACTACATACCGCACTCCATTGACTCAAAGTATGCCATATTAATTCTATGCCTGCACAAGCAAGTCCGCAATACATTAATGGGTTGGGTATAATTAAACATGTACGGTCCCGTTAAAATAGTCACCTTAGGCGTCTGTTGCTCTTCCCCGTTTCCAATTAGCAGCAGGAATAAACAAGGAGTTGCACTCGGTGCGTTCCTGGCTCTTCTTGATGTCAATGATAGCAGTTCGGTTAACGAACATGGCGTGCCGTATGCTTTTGTTGGTGATATAACATTTGTCCACAATTACCGAGGAGTTGAGCTTCCGCATGTAATTCTACTCATTTAAGAGTACATTCCTTCGCTTGAAGCTTAGTGTGACTGGTGGATGATGGCGTTTTAAGCACAACAGTCAAGTGTCAAATGTTGCGGTTGCTTGACAAGCGAAGTATCTAGCACACTTGCCAGCGAACGCATCTGTGTTCAACGATCTACCCGTGACCTTGGAATCAGATATTCTTGTACATTCAATTCCTCTGAACAGATTGATTACCAGATAGCACGAGCTAGACAAACTTTCGCTAACGTCTCTTATAACATGCATACAATCACAGCTACAGTTGAAGTAGTTAAAATCCTTAATCATCTCATCCTGGAGTATCACAGCATAATCTGAGGCAATATGAGGAAATCAGATAGTACATCGATGGAAAGCCTACAAAGGTCAGTTAGTAAGCACTCATTAGGGACAAATGCTATCATAAACGCTCGGGTGCGATGCCGGCAACTCCATCTCCATCCGCTTTGGTTGCGAAGACTAAATGATAACGAGACTGCTGCACAATCTGATTCATGGCAATACCCATTGCAATCGATTCACCTTAACATTGAAGCACAATTACACGCGAGACCTAGGTACCAAAGACATTACCCTGATTATACCACGATGCAGAACTAATTTGCGGTCTAACTTTCGTCTCACCATATATGCTTCTCTGTGGAATCGGCTGCCATTCACCATCAGGTTGTGTGAGGCTGTACAATCCTTTGGCAGTAATTTGGGAAGCTACCTCTACCTGGACACCATTATGTCGCTTTTTCGTGGGAAGATCATTCAAACATCCATTCAATGGAAGCCCAGATAACGTATAATGGGTGTAATATCACCAATTTACGCAATGTAATTAGTCATCAGTGTCTACAACATACTCAAACTGTAAACTTGCTTCCCCCCATCGCATAAGACAAACATATGTGGTAAGTACGTTTCAAGCAATGCAGACAAATCTAAGCAGAGAACGTGATATTGCTCTTGCGAGCGCATGATACCTCCTGTACGTGTATGTTCTGTGTCAAATATTGCCACAGCTTTCCACTTGAAAAGAAATACGCCCATTATTCTTAGTCTTATTCTTATTCTTTTTATTAATAATACTGTCTTTATTATTATTAGCTTCCTGCGATGTATTGTTTCGACCTGAGGCAATACTAACCTGTAGCCAAAATGTGCCACTGGTACTGTGCACCTTGGACAGAGCACAAGTTGTGCGCTTGATACATTACGGACTGCTCGCACAAGTGCTGGAAATTTGACGCAGGGACACTGACTACCGGTCGGGTCGGAATACGAACCAATGATATCTCTTTCGGACAAAAGATCTGCTAATGTGGTGCTGAGAGAGAACGTGCAAACACCTCCTCCTAGGTTGACCAGCTACAGACAGGCGTATTGTTGATGACCTCTAACACTGACACTCTGACCCCAGTCTGCCTTCCGTTAACAGCAATGTGTCAACCTACTCGGGAGCACACCTGTCCCCCAAAGACGCATACATCGAGCCCTGTGCTTAAATCCATTGAATCCCATTGAATGATGTCCCAGGACCAATGAGAATGTCACTGATAGTGCGTGCATTTAACCCTTCAGGGATAGAATGAATTGATGTCCGCGTGAACGTGAATTTACAACACGTTATTTTGCTTTTTGTAACACGCTAAATTATTAGCACCATGCGTGAATTTTCCTTTAAAATTTTATAGTAGGATAAGTGTTCCATTTATTTTAACTACATTTTCCTGCACGTTGAAGTTGTGGACGTCCCCGGATTCATTGTTTTTATTCATGTTGTTGCCACCTGCAAATGCTGCTGTTCGCTTAGGTTTAATAACCACAGTTTGCTGCTTCCTGATTACTATTTTAGAAACGGACAAACACTTATCCTGGACATTAAGGCTTGTAGTCACATTTTTCTTACACAGACTTGAACCTGCATGCTCTAAATTTTCTAGCTTCTGTCTGTTAGCAACGCAATGTTGATTTATAAGAGGTAGTCTGGCCTAGTAATTTGAAACTGCATGTCTTCGTCTATAGATTCGGCCATCTGGGAAGTGTTTGGCTGTGATTATCAACGTGGTAGCGATGAACAACTCCATGGATCGTAGCGATCTATTGACATCCGTTACGCAAAACAACTGGACCGAGATATCAGGGATCCCCACTTCGTCGTAAAAACCCAACGTCTACGCTTCTAAATTTTAAAACTTCGTAACTTTTCGCTTGCCGTTCTAGTGATCATCGTTTTGCGTTGAACTATTGCAAACAGTGTCAGACGAGTAAAAATGTATACACAACTAGATCCATTGCCCTGAAAAGAATAAAATGACAAAGCAGTTTATTGGCTGAACGAAAAATGACAAACTGTATTTTGTTAAAAAGCGATTATGTTATCAAAACTTCTGTCAAAAGGTAACGAGACAAAACGTGAGTGCAAAATGAGATAGTGCAAAAATGATGATGTAAATACATTTTGTGATCAGGAAAATGTCATTTAGACTAATGTGTGCTGATTAATCGAGTAAGCACCGCTCCAAATATAACGCAGACTCCCATCAGGGAAAGGAATTTTCCAACAGATAGTCTCAGCTCACTCCCCTTTGGTTCACTGTTACAAACAACCGGGACCGGCAACTAAAGTGAATGCGGAGTAAACAAGGGAAATTTATTGAGAATTTCATGTGCTCATCCAATTAATAAACAACAGTTTTACTACTGAATGTCACAGTTACCATGTTGTCATCAATGATATACCTCAGTGATTCTAAGCAAGAAAGATCGCCTAAATACAAGCTTCATATTTGGCATGTCAGGGCTTACTTCTAACAATGTGTAAGAAGCCGGAAAACAGGATTTAGAACAGTGGCGGTTCATTGGTGAAACACTTTCTTTGGATAATATTGTGGCGCTATCGTTCAACAGGATACGTCTCTCACCAAATTAAGGAGGATGCGGCCCTAGAATCCTAAAACTCGTGGTGCAGTCAGAGCAAAACGCAACAGATGTTCTGGATCGATGGCGGAGAAATCTGAAAAGACTTCCTTCTGAACTTCTGTTAAAGGTCGCATAAGCTTTGCATTGTTCAGATATAAAAACCTATGAAGCAGCAAACGTACAGGCGATGATACAGTAGCTTAATTTGACTGCTGCTTTATTTGACTCTGACGTAGGTCTAAACGAAGATTGGGACGCACATTAGGCGCCTCAAGTTTTAGACGAGGTATCATTATTCCATCAAAAATACAAGTAACTGCCGATCTCCCATCCGTCGTCATTTTCCCACAAGTGACCCCTTTAGGCCTCTGTGGGCTCCTAGAGACCGAGAAAGTGGCCTGTTTTTTTACGAATGCTCAGGGACTTTTTAATAAACTGGCCTAATTGTAAGATTGCTAACCTCCCAGGTCTTTTGGGATGATTGGTATAACTGAAACATGGTTGCACACTGGAAGGACGGACCCCGAAGTTTCACTATCGTGCATGTCGCTAATCCGGAACGATAGATTCACAACAGGAGTAGAGGTGGTACTATATTACCGAAGCGAGTTACAGTGCGAAGCCGTGGAGGATTCAGACTCCCCTTTCCCCTACTCTCGTTGGTGCCGCCTGCAGTTAAAAGGCAGAGGCACTTACCTTATTGCCCCCCTAACTCTGCATCCGAAACCGACTGCCACCTTGTGGCTGCTTCAAGACGCACCCTAAAAGGTGGATTCACTCACATCCTTCTCATGGGTGATTCCAACCTACATTGTATAGAAACCCCTGCCATGATCGGAGAACAATTCAACGCCGATCTACAGGAGCTCGTAACGACTGTTCCGCTTTACAATAACAGCACTTTGCCCACTCGGTTCAGAACAGGTAACAGACCATCTATGTTTGATCTTGTGCTTACCAACGAAGAGAATATGATTGCTGCGTTGGCTGTAAACTGCCCGTTGGGTTGTATTGATCATGCAGTCATCAGTTTCAACTTCGCCTGCTCTGCAGAATATCGGAATGCGAACTACGAGACTGTGCGAACCATCACAAGGCACGATCGAGTAGCCCAGCTCGTTAGCGCTACAACCTGGTCGTACCTTGCCGGAGAACCCCTGGAAGTCGCTTGGCACGAATTCCTCAATAAATTCGGTTAGCTGATTTCAGATGCTTCAGAAGCACGAGTTTGTAAGGGTTGTAAATCATTTTCTTTCCTAAGGAGCGGAACTCGATAATGGACGGCATTGCGCAACGCAGCATGGCGGGTGTACAGAGAAGCTCCAACGCCAAAAACTTGGAAGAACTATGTAGCCCAACATTGCCACTGCATTCAACTGCTCGGAGAAAACAAAGCCGCATTTCTGTAGAATATCACATAAGCCTTCAGTGCTAACCACAAACTGCTGTACAAGCATGTCAGTGGTCTACGAAAGGCGAGGCAAGGATATTCTCAACTCAGGACGACCGATGGAAGCAGTAAACGCGCTGCGGTTGAAAAATGTCTCCATCTTTCAGAAGGTCTTGCTATCAAATGGGATTCCAACCTTTGTCCTCTCCCGCCGCGACTAACCCACATCACTTTTACCGCGGAAGCTGTATTGCAAAATCTGACGTTTCTACGCAAATACTGCTCGTTGGGTGTTGATACCATTCGTTCAGAGGCACTGGAAGCCGCATCAAGCCAACTGGCGGGACATTTAGCTGTTTTTCTAGCACTGCTTCGACTATAACCAGGTTCCTGCTATGTGGTACCTTGAAATAAAACCTCGATGCATAAAGGCTTAAGTAGAACTGAGCCCACCAACTACCTCCCAGTATCCCGTCTTCCTATACTCTCCTAGATCACGTACTCCATTGTTGCCGATGCACTGCTGTGCTATCTGAGAAACTGCAACATCGTCACGCCTAAGCAACACGGCTTCCGTCGACAGCGCTTATGCACAACTAATTTACCTATTACACGTAGTAGTTGGACCTAGACAGCTGACGCTGGAGAAGAGGTTGATGTAATCTACCCAGATTTATTGAAGGTTTTTGATCGTCTAGACCATCGGATACTACTATCTAAGCTCCAGCGTTACGAGATCGGCGACCCACTTTTAATTTGGATTGCCAATTTTCTACTTCAACGGCGGTTAGTGGTCAGAGTTCGGAGCTCTTTTTCGGACCCCATAAAAGTCGAGTGTGGTGTGTCGCCATGCTCAGTTCTAGGTGCATGTCTTCTTTGGCGCTTAGTACTGACCTCGCACAAGCAAACGCTACAAACTTCTTAATGTTTGCTAAAGATATCAAGATTTAGCGCAGGATTCAGGTGAGTGCTGACCAGCACCTGCTTCAGAGTGACCCGGGAACGGTACATTAATGATCATCCCAAAACCTTCTGCATTTCAACGTCAGTAAATGCAAGGTACTCTTCATACGACATCAGATAAACTGCTACTGTGGACTCGGAACAAAATTACTGCAACAATCAACTGTCGAACATGACTTGGGTGTGCTAGTTCAAGATGATTTGGGTTGCTATAGACAATCCGAAAAGGCCTCGAAGACTGGAACTTAACACGTCGGGCTGTTGCGACTGGAGTTCGGGCAAATAGACAACTCTATTTTTTCACAATTGCTCAGTTCGTATGTTCGCCCCCATGTCGATTACGCAATTCGAGCTTGGCATCCAAGGTTGAAACATCTAAGATCGTAAGTGGTATGCGCCTATGCGGAGGCTGAAACGATTGGGCGCATTCAGCGGACGGTATCATATGTTGCGAGGCGACTTGATTATGGCATACTTGATACTGCACGACCCACGTCATGTGTGCCCCTCTTTACTGCAACAGCAGCAATGCAACCCTGTGGAGTCACTCATTAAAACTGGTAGAACTATATAGCCGTCTGGAGTGCCGCAGGAATTTCTATTCCATTCGTGTCTGTCACCCGTGGAATGCTCTCTCAGAATCAGTCGTCTCTGCACCAACACTAACAGTATTTAAGAGACGGTTGGATGACGCACTCGTCCACTTACACTTAGTTAGCGCTATTCCTGGAGTGCTCCTTGGATTTATTTGATGTTAACTGTGGGTGCTGTGAATCAATGCGGAGTGCAGAACTACAGCGGAGCAAACGAAAAGTGCTTCTTTTCACATTTACGGTATTGTTTTCTTATTATTAGCACTTATTAATATTTCGATATCTCCACCAACGATCCAACGGGATTTGTAAATCAGCGCTTCCTAACCCGTTAAACTCCTTGTTTATTCTACATTGTTTAAATGTTGGATTGGAAAAGAAACATAGCGTGCTCCTGTCAAACTAGAACTTCTAAGAGTGGATACACTACAGATAAAACGATCTCAGGCTTGGTGTTGAGTTGATCCGTTGTTATACTTCGGAGGACAGTATGAAAACTTGTTGAAAGTGCTTACCTCGACACTTCAACTTGTCATAAAATGAATCATGATCGACTGCTGTTAGCCACTAGCGTCGTTTTTTGCAGGTTTTAGTTACAAATATGCCACTAAACAGCGAATCTCTTCTGGGTAGGTTGTCGCAGTGTGCTTTAAAAATATGGCAAAGGTATTTAAATCATATCCTAAAGAAGATAATTTGAAACCAAACTTAGGATCGCCGTTATGGTAAGGGTAGACTAAATGTACCACACACTTGGATTCAATTACCGCGGGCTTATGCTATTGCTGCTGGCGCCCAGAAAATGGACTACGATTAATTACGAGTTTCCTAAAAACCTTCTGCAGTTGCACTTCTTCTCCAAAAACAATGCCATTTGTCTAAGCAATGATTAAATCTATTCCTGTGATCGCTACTCACGTCAGCGACCGCGAGGTCACCGACGTTCACTATTATTTCGTGTACCCGGTCAACTTAACAAGTCTCGGGATGAAATGGCTTAAGGTTGTACCACAACTACAGGATAAACAGACTGCGTCAGGATGTGAAGAGGTGCCTTGTTTAGCGACGGACATTGATGGTTTTCCAATGTAGACGAATAAGTGGTGGCCAGGATTCCCTGAATGAAACAATGAGCCTACTGCGGAACCTTACAAGAGTTAGCGAAGTACTGAGCCATACACTATGATCACACTTTAACTTAGTAGAGCCCGAGTTAACAAATAACTTTACGCTGTAGCGATTCTTAAATGTCCGAAAATCCTATACTTTCACGCGGCAGCGATATGATTTAATTTGCACTTACAGTCTGCAAAACCATGTATATGACAGTATTTATTCGAGTATCAGCTTCGATAAGTGGAAAATGTTTCATTATACCCGACCCAGTTAGAGCTACTGTAGCAAACAGTTGCGGGAACAAAACTCAACAATGTGTACTGGTCCATTGTGAACATTCCAGTGTTGATACAAATCATGTCACTTGGGCTATCCACGGAGTTCTCTTGCGATTTCCCCGGGATAAAGTACTTCTTAGCTAGAAGACGGCATTGGAATCTCGAAATCAGATCAGCTAGTTTAGAACGCTTCAGCTCTTCTTCTGTTATGGCTCACCGAACTGTCCACAGGAACCCATGTGCTGTTGCGTCAAACTACCGAATAGTAACTCATAGAGTGGGATAACATACAACCAGATGTTTATTACAGAGGACGGTAAAGCAAAACAGAAAACCATGGCAGCCCTTCTACAAATGACT